TTTCTCTGTTTTCTAGATTTTGATTGAATTTACTTCTTGTTCTATTCATCATTTACTTTCTTTACACATATTTTATATTTATTTCTTCATATTCTCCTTTTTCATTTTATTTCTTATTTTCACTTTATTTTCATTATTTGTTAATACTCTATGTTTATTATTGATGTTATCTTTATTATCATTCTATTCATTCATTCTTTTTCTTATTTATTTTTCCTTGCATCCTTCTCTTTCTAAACCCTTTTCCTTAAGATTTCTTTTACCATTTTTATTATACATTTTATTACCAATAACATTCATTCTCTTGTACGTTCTTGAAGTTTATACCTTGTTTCTTTTTCTTTACAATACTCAAGAACATTATTTAATAGCAAACACAATATAAATTGTTGTATTCTTTAATTGAAAAAAAATCTAATAATATTAATATAATTAATATAAGTAAGGAATGTTACATTTATTAATTAAATCTACTTCCTTTATGAATAAAAAAGTATAGTATAATAAATACAAGGTAATACAAATGAAATCTATGTCATTTATTAATTAATCAGTCTGAAAATAAGAATACACCATTAACACAGTCAGTGACAAACTGATGATAAAATTGAAAATAATGAAAGTTGAGAATAAAGACAAATTAATGAGTATAACACAATGTAATAATACGAATTAAGAAAATTTAATTGAAATAAACCATTAATATATATAAAAATAAATTATTATAAAATAATAATTATTTATAATATTAATACTATTATAATTAACTATGAAATAGTTAATTTCAACACCTTTTATTATTGTTATTTAAACTATTTCATTATAATTTTTATCTTGTTTTCATATACTTCAACAAAAAGTACAATTTTCAATTATAAAATATTATTATAATAATGTTATTAAAAACTATAAGTTTTATATTCATTCTCATTTTTAGTTATGTACATCTTACCTCTCAAACTGTATAAATAAGAGTCCAATTGTCATAATTTTTTTAAACATGAACGATATAGGAATGAAAAGTCACATCCTGTTATGAAAATAATTTTATTTAACTTCTTAAATGTTCTTATAGTTTAATTTAAGTTGCAGTTAAAAAAGTATTATTATAAAACCTAATTGAATTTCAAATTAATTTAAAAATGGTCCCGGCGGGGATCGAACCCGCGACCCTCGCATTTCTCTTTTCTATAAGTACGATGCACTACCGACTGTGCTACGGGGCCTTTACAACTAAAATATATTAATTTTTTATTTTATAAAAAAAAGAAATAATTAAAAAAAATTAAACTTCATGTATCAAATTTCTCTTTTCATCTTTGTGAATAAGCAGCACATACAATAATGAATATAAATCACTTATCACTGTTGCTAAAGGAAACAAGATAAAAGATGGTGTTGGAAAAAATTTCCATGGTAGTGGATTGTCTAGAGCACAGGGACAACAAGAAATAAAAAAGATAAACACTGTGAAAAATGTTGGTATTAAAAACAAATGCCTCTCTATCATTTCTTCATAAGATGAGTATATCCCAATTATAAATAATGGTGCAACATATACACCAAATCCAATACAACACATTGATAATGCAAATATATCATTAATAATTACAGAACGTGAAATAGTAATAATAATGAATGTAGAAATAATACCTAGAAAATATGATAAAAGATAATCTTTAATAGAATACTTTTTAGGCACAATAGCATTAAACGTGGTAATAGTAATAAACGGAATAACGATAGCGTTTGAGATTGCAAATATTAGGTACTCAATTTTTGGTGAGTATTGAGGGACTATTGACCTAGGCTCTCCATTTGTTGGAAGACCAAATACAATTCTCAAAATGGGAGTAAAAAAAGTATTATAGAGAATTCTCACAACGAGTAGGCGTGAACTTTCTACCATAACTCTTTTTTTGAAGACCCTTTTATTTTTTCATTTAAAATATTTTTGTAATATAAAACATAAACATATTTAGACTTTCTTTATAAGAACTTTTTAATCTTTATCATTTGATTAGAACAAAACGAAAAAATACTGTATTTAAACTCGTTCTTTATGAGAAAGAGTCATTAGTCTCAAAGAATGAATACACAGTACATAGCTTTTGCTTGTGTGATTTCAGTTGCATTAGCAAATTACACTGTTTTTTCTGATGGAACATTTAAGAATAATTGGTATGAAAAAGGATCAACTTGCTTTGCCTCACAAACAGGGAAATATGATGGAAGATATATTCTTTATACACAAATGGCTGCTAACTCTTTTTTAAATCTTCATGGAGATAAACCTATTATAGCTAAAAACTATAAATATTTAACTTTTGCTTTGAATTGGGAAGATCAGTTTTGTAATTTAAGAATAACTATTGAATTAGGCTCTCATTGGCTTAAAAATCTTGAATTTCAACCAGAAGTTCTCGAACCTCAAAAATGGAATAGAGTAGTTGTTGACATTACATCTCTTGGAGAGACAGATGTTGATACAATTAAAATCACTAAAAACGATCAGAAAGATACTAATGTGATGTTTAATGACTTTATCTTTACTAATGACGAACCTGAGGGTGGTATTTTTAGTTATGAGCAATTGAGTTCTAGCGTCCAATTAGATGATTCAGAGGTTGATGGTTCAATGTCAGTCTTTATTCTTTTATTAGGAATAGTGTTTCTTTTCCTTTAAAAGGAGAGAAAAGAAAACAAAAAAACAAATCTAATTAATTAGTTTTAATTTTATTTTTTTGTTCTTTTTTATGAATTTGAAAAAATAAACAAATCAATAAAATGATGATTCACTTTAGTGGTTTTTACTATTTAAACTGATATTATGAATAATTCAATATCTATTCTCACTAAAATAAAATATTTAATACTGATGCTAAATCCTTTTTAATTAAAATATCCACTAATTATTCAGAGAAACTAATAGTCCAGTTACTGTCCATTGTTACTGATGGTTTTCTGATAACAAACCCTTTCTCATTTAATTGGTTAGTTCTGTATTCATCAAAGTTGACTCTATTAATTCCATTAAACATAAATTTGGGTTTTACACTTCCTATTACTACAATTTTAATGATTTCTTTACTTGAGGGAATAGAAGTTCCATTCTCGTTTTCTATTACTTTACATGAAATTCCTTTGGAATTCAAATAAACTTTACTGAGAACATGGTCCTGTTTTGTTGTAAGTCCATCATCTGAATATAGATATCCTTCTGCTTCTCCTTTCTCATCGGCATATATGATAAGAGTAATAGGGTCATACTTCATTAATTCTGATGCTCTTCTCTTACGTTCCTTAACTGGGATAATGCTTCCTCCTCGAACAATAATTGGAATTGAGTCCAATGTAACAGAAACTGTTCTTAATCCATTCTTTACAGGGGTGTTTGTAAACCAATCATACCAAATTCCTTTTGGAACGTATTGATTAACTCTTGTTAATCCTTTTTCAAAGACACCAGTTACAATAATGTCATTTCCTGCCATAAACTCATTATCGATATTATAAGTCATTTCATCTTCTGGGTACATGAGGAATAATGGCTTTAGTAATGGTTCTTTATTACGAATAGACATAAAATATTCTTTATACCAGTAATCTATCAATAAGTATTTCATTTCAATTGCCTCTTTCATCCTTCTTCTACTCTCTTCTTCAAACAAATAAGGTTCTCTTCTTTTAGTATCTAAATGAGCATGTGCTCTAAAGAATGGATAAAAAGCACCAACTTGATACCATCTAATCAATAACTCTTCTTCGGTATCATGGAAGAATCCACCTACATCTCCTCCTGACTGTAATATACCAACTAAATTAAGATTTAAAGTCATAGCAACTGATGTTTTTAAATGTTCCCAAGTAGAGTCAGTATCACCAGTCCAAACGGCTCCAAATTTTTGACTTCCTGCATAGAAACTTCTACTTAAAACAAATGGTCGATCTACTCCATTAGTTCTTTTCAATAAACCATTGTATGTTGACATATGATAAATCAATCCATAAATGTTATGAACATCTCTATGTTCATAGGTTTTATTTCCATCAGTATGAATATTATCTTTTGGCATAGTAACTTCTGGCCCATTAAATACAGATGGTTCATTCATGTCATTCCAAATCATTAAGTATGGTGATGAGTATTGGTATTTTTCAAAACTGTATAATTCAATCCACCATTCCCTAGCCTTCGGATTAATAAAATCAATATAAACAGAATTGCCAGGCCAACACCACCCTTCGTAATCTTTTTTAATATCCGAACTCTTAACTAAATAATTAGAATCAACTGCTTCTTTATAGACATAATAATTTTTATCTCTCTTAATATGGGGATCAACGATAGTTACAAGCCTTCTTTCAGCACTCTTTAATTTATCTATTAACTCATTTGGTGCCGGGAATTTATTTTGTTGCCAAGTAAAGTACCTTTTATCATCAGTATGCTCAATATCAAGCCATAACACATCAAATGGAATTGATGCTTCATCCATCTTTTCGATAACTTCATTAGCATCGTTTTGGTTCATATAATTCCATCTACATTGATGATACCCAAGAGAGTATTTTGGAATCATTGGAGCAGTACCTGTTAACTGAAGGTATTCTTGAATTAAATTAATTGGCTTTGGTCCTGGTAAGAAAAATTCATCCAAAATCCCACTTTCTGAAACAAATTTAACAGTTTGTCCATCAACATATACATAAGTTTCAGTTGGATTGTTATGGAAGATACCAGCTGCGTTTTGAGAAAGAGAGTAAATAACTGGAACAGATCCATATAATGTCATAGGAGAATCTAACTCAAACTCAAAAACGTCAGTGTTATACAATCGATACGGTTCATTATATCCATCAGAACCAGTTGATTTCAAAACAACATCAGTGGCATGTTCTGGAATTCCAAAAAACTTCTTTGACAATGGGAATGTATACCCCATAGACACTCCAGCTGGTCCATGAGGTTTTTTATCAGTAAATTTACCGAATTCCTCTTCACCAGCACCATCAACTTCTTTTCCTTCAATTGTTTTTATTCCAGTTTCGAAACGTAAAGACTGATTATCATTTGCAACTAATACCACAAAACCATTAACTTTTAATGTCATAATAAGATGAGTAAAATCAATATCTAATTCGCTTTGACCATTCTTTAATATCACTCTCTCTTTTTGTTTTTCAATAACGATTGGAACTTCTTTAATTCCATCTTCAGTTAATGCAAGACCAATCTCTGGCTCATAACGATCAAACTTAACACCACCACCAACATGAACCATTTTAGTTCTGAAAATACCATTTGCAATTCCACTTACTCTCATTTCAAAAGTTGTACCTTCAGTAGGATTTCTTATGCCCAATGTAATGGACGTTTCAGTTTGTTTAATAATACCACTTACAAGAAACTGTTGTTTTGTGTTTTGTGCACGACGACAAAAGGCAGTTTGTTGACACGTTCTGAAATTATCATGATTGACAGCAAAAGCTAGAACTATAAAAAATAAAACACTCACAAGACGCATTTCTGATTGTTATTTTTTTGTTTCTTGAACAAAAAGAATAATTTTTAACAAAATAATATAATATTTGTTCTAATATAAAAAAGTTATAAATATATATCAGAACTCATAAAAAAAGGGAAAAGAAAACCCTAAGGATATAAAAGGAGGAACTGAAAAGAAAGAAAACACCTTCTCGGCCTTTATGGCTTTGATCAAGTGTAGTATCTGTTCTAGCAAGCTTAACATCTTGCTTGCCCTTACGGGGGTAAAAGAAAAGAATTTTTAGAGGGAAGTTAAGGAAATGGAAGGCAAGCTTTTCAAGAACTTAACAAGGATGTGCATGGAAACATGATGCGTCTACCCTAACTTTAACAAGAAGCATATAAAGAATATAAAGAATATAAAGAATATAAAGAATATAAAGAATATAAAGAATATAAAGAATATAAAGAATATAAAGAATATAAAGAATATAAAGAATATAAAGAATATAAAGAATATAAAGAATATAAAGAATAAAAGTTATAGAAAAGAAATAAGAAGAAAAATTAATTAACAAATGAATAAAAATATTTAAATAATTAATTTATACTAATTATATTCTATTAATCAAGTATTTCAATAAGAATTTTCATTAATGTAATATAATTTAATAATATATGAGTTATATTATTTTATAAATAATTGAAGATTATAAATAATTCATTAGATTTGAATTATGAATTCATTAAACAAAGATTTGATAAATTTTCATATATCATTTTACTTCATTATAATATTTTCTTTCTATAATTATTTGATATTTTAATTGTTATTCTTTATTTATCATATAACTATTAAAATTATTTATAATTTTTCAATATAAATCATCATTTTCATTTATCTAAATGATAATGATAGGATATATTCTTTATATATTTAATAATCATATTTATTTATTTATTTGTTTTTTTTTCTATTTCTCTTTATTCTCATTATATTTATTTAATTTCTTTTTATTTAATTTCTTTTATCATATTTTATAAATCTATTCATTAATTAATTTCTTTTTTCAATAATTCAATTTAATTAATTCAGTTATTTTATTATCTTCTTTCTATCTAAATTCTAATAATAAACAATGAGTTTTTATATCATAATAACTCTAAATGATATTAATTTCATTTATTTTCTTTTTAATATATAATCAATTCAAAATATTATTTCTAAAATATATATGAATTATTTGTTTTTTTTTGATTAATTGATTTAAAATAAATAATTTGAATATTCATAAATTGATAGATTATGAATATCTGAATAATTATAACAATATTTTATTAATTCTTCTTATATACAATTTGTGATATTATTAATTTGATTTATATTTTCATTTTATATATTAATTATTAAATTCATAAAAGAATGTTTAATAATAAATAATTTATAAATGAATAAACATAAATAATTATATAAGTTATTTTCATTAAATATTAGATATATTTTATATTATCTTTTAATAATATTGTTAAAGTTTTAATTATTCAATATTTGTTTATAATAATTTCAAATTTTAATTATTTTAATATATTTATTACTTTAATGTATATTATTTAATTCATTTTTTTATTTCAATTATTATCATTATATTACTGATATATAATATACTCTTTTAATACATAAAATGATTCTATATAAAAAATAGAAAGAATAAAAAAATAGAAAAGAATAATAAAAATGATAAATAACTCTATAAATGATACAACAATAAAGTTTAATTTGTGTAAATTAACATTAAAAATTGATACTAATTTTAATCAAATGATTGAACATAAAATGTAATTAATAAAAATAAAGAAAAAATAAAAATAAAGAAAAAATAAAAATAAAGAAAAAATAAAAATAAAGAAATGAGAAAAACAAAATAAATTTAATAATAAAAGAATGAAATAAGAAAAAGAATGAATAAAGAAATAAGGAAAAGTGAAACAAATAATGAATAAATAAAATCAAACAACAAACATTAACAATTAAAATAATAAAAATAAACAAAATAAAATAATATTTTAAATATTTCAATAACAAATAATAATAAATTATTAATAAAGAATAAGAAAAAAGAAAAGAATAATAATAAATTTCAATATAATAAGAAATGAAGAAATCAAATTTATCAATACAAATAATTCAAATGAAATAAAACTTAAATAAAATTAACAAATTAAATATTCAATATTTAAGTTATTATCTATATTTTTATTTTTAAAATAAAAGAATAAAAAACAATCAATGATTATAAAACATTTTAAGAAGAATATAACAATAACACTATAATTATATAATATCTTCTTTAAATTCTATAATTGATAAATTTTTCATTATGATAATACAATAATTAACAAAAAGATTAAAAAAAAAAAAGAAAAAGAAAAAGAAAAAAATAAGTTAGATATTAAAGAAAGAAATAATAAATAAGTAATATAATAAATAATAATAAATAATAATAAATAATAATAAATAATAATAAATAAAAACATAAGAGTTTGAGAAAAGAATTAAATCAAGAAAGAGAAAATGATAAAAAGAAGATAAGTAAGATTTAAAATTAAAAAATTATAGGATTTTAAGTAGTGAATATGATAATTAAGGTTGAAGTAATTGGAAATTAAATGATAAATAAGAAGAAATAAAAGAAAAATCAATTAAGAGAAATAGAGGAATGAAGAAGAAGTCTATAATGAATAAAGACAGGATAACGGAAAGAATGATTGAGACGATATTCATTATGATTATGAAGAAGAAGAAGAAGGAAAGATTTTGATAAGAATAATTGAAGAAAGATTTTATTAGAAGTGTCTAAATTAGTATTAAAATTAGAGAATTTGTGAAGAATATATCTTTCAAGAGATCTTTGAAGAAGACGAGAATTAAAAGAATGAGGAGATGGAGAAGAATTTGACATAATAAATAAATTAAAAAGATTAAAAAAAATAAAATAAAATAAAAATAAAAAAAATAAAAATAAAAAAATAAAATATTCATAATTTAATTTTTTTATAATGATAAATATTTATTTCAATTTCTTCATTATACTTTCTAAATAAGACTCCTTTAATAAAAATTAATAATTTGTATTTCATTAATTCTTGAATTCTCTACTTTTTTTGTTTATTTGAGATCCTTCATTCTCTTCATAACCTTGTTCATAAAATACTTCTCTAAATTCACTTTCATAATATCCATATTATTTCATCAAAATTTTCATAATTATTATTTTTTATCATTTCATATTGTTTTATAATCTTTATTCTTTTAACATTCTTACTAATTCATTATTGAATAATCTAATTTATTATTATTAGAATTACTTTTATTTTTTTTAGTTTATTAATGTATTTTATTTTCTCATGAAGAATTCTATCTATTTTAAATTTATTATTAAATATTAGATTTATCTTTTTATCATTATTATTGTTATATCATTTATTATTCTTATTTATATTCAATATAAATATCTAGTATTTTATGAAATATTCATATTCAATTTTATTAATTAATTATTGACTCAATATCATGATTATTTCATTCTATTCTTCTTTTCAATTTATTCATTTTTATTGATAAATATTTTCATTTATTATATTTTATATTTTAATTTAACACTTCTCCATTTATATTTATTAAATCATAATAATCAATTTGTATATTCTTATTTATAATAAAATTTAATAATATATGTTCTATTATTGTTATTTGGATAAAATAAATTGAATCAATAAAATAATAGTTTTTATTATTTTTTCTTAAATAAAAAATAAAAATTAAATTAAATATACATTCTATATTATTCATTTATATTTCTTTATATTTTATATCATTTTATGATAAATTGTTCTGAATTATAAATGAATCAGAAATGAAATTTGATTCAATGTAAGTATACATTTTTATT